GTTCGTTATTTTCTAGTTCCACCGTATAGTTTCCATTTCTAGAAACTTCATGAAGTTCGTTATTGCAACTACTGGAATATATATTTTACGTCTATAGCGTATAAATCCATATGTATAGTATATTTTTGTTGAAGAAAAACTTATAAAACTCTTGCTCAAATATATTTTTAAAGTGATATAATATCTGAACTCTGATTTTACACCATATTTTTATCTTCGTCCTGAAAAATTACATAGAAATCAAATACGAGATATTCACTCTGAGACGACGATATACTATTTATGTACGGTATATACCGTCTATAAATTCATCTCGGTGGTTCAACGATTGGCGCAGTGGAACCATTGATTTACACTCTCACGATGTTTAGACCTTTTTTTTTTTAAATCGGGACTTAATCTGGTAAAAAACAAATTTTATTTACCTCGACGTTCGGGCGTATTGCAACGTCCATGGTCTCGAGGGGACTCTGAGATCAAATTACGGTAGAACCAATTTGGGAGATGAACTTTTCTAAATTGCTTCTGGTCCTGGTGTTCCGGAGTGAACTCCGTTGCTCTTTTACACATAGCACAAGGAATTCCCTAGTAAAGGACCAGGTAATTAGTGCGGTTGTTTTGCATATTTTCATATTATGTGTTTCATATATGTGTTGTAATTAGAGATGGGAAAAACTGTGTTTTCTTTTAAAAAAGCGTGCTTTTTAAAACGCTTTTTAGTTTGTAGCTTACAAAATCGTTTAGAAAAACGTTTAACCGCAGAGACTGTTAAAAAAAGCTTGCAACGTTGTGTTGATAGCAAAAAGCAAGAGTAAACCACTAGAGGTTAATAAGTAACTTTATTTGTATAACACGAGTTTTATTTTTAACCGACTTCCAAAAAGGAGGAGGTTCTCAATTCGACTGTATGTTCTTTTTTTTTGTATGTATGTTACGCTATAACTCCGGTGTTTGTGAACCGATTTTCATGATACATTTTTTGTTGGAAAGGGGGTACTTCCATAGTGGTCCCAGTTCATTTTGAAGAAAATCATCCACCTCTAAGGGTGGCTGCTCATGCATGAAGATTTATTTTTATAAATAGCGCCTAACATTAATTTAGGAGCAATTACTTTAATGGTTGATTTTGCTATTTCTCGAATTCAAGGCGTTTTTCTCTCAATATACTTTGAGTAGTGAGAACCGATTTTTATTATCTCCAGTGTCTCCTGTATAGTGGCGAACTAGGGGATATTTCAATAAAACTCGGCAAATAGACGTAATTCCACGTACTTTTGAGGTCGGTTTTTTTAGTACTCTGTACTGAGATTATTTTTATAAAATTATTATTCACATTGACGAATTAATCTGTTAGGAAACAGAAGGCGGGACTTTTAAGTCATTATGTTTTAACATAAGCACGTTGTAAAAACTCAAGTTGTTGAGTATTGAACTGATTAACGCTTGCGTTTAAATTGAAAAGCGTGCTTATGTACTTATTTTACAAAGCAAACTTTTTTAAGTGCTTTTTATTTAAACGCCCACCTCTAGTTGTAATTATATTAACACATAACATATTTGTAACCTGACGCCAGTCGCTACACCAACACCTCAAAAACAATACTGGTATAATTTCAATGTCACACTTGTTTTGGTGCAACCGTTTTCAAATATTATTTATTGTACAGAACCGACTATTAGTTACACTATATTACAATGTTGCCGATGTGATTCAACGCTTGCTCGTTTGGTGATGTATTCTGATAGTTACTAATTGCCTTATTAGGTTGAATGGCAGGTGAATTTTGATTGTTTTTTTTAGAATGGTAGTAATACGGTTTCTTAGGCATTTATAAATAAGGTTTGACAATAGCTTTTTGGTGCCAGATAATCACATTGAATTTGAAAGTAGCAGTAAATGTCCTTGTGAAAGAGATCGTTCAGGGAGGTGCTGCCACTTTACCTATTACTGCTGGTGCTGGTGAAATTACAGGCACATAGGACTGTTGACTTATAGAACAACGTGTAAAGTGTATTGTTTTTTTATGAGGATAGCCCACTCAGTAACCCTTATGTAACGCCGTAGTAACCTAATGGATTGACCTACCGTCACTCAAGCAGAGGTTCGTATCCGGGCTCGCACCTCTGAGTTTCTCGGAAATTTACCGTGACGGAATATGACTTAAACCCTCGCCTGAGAGGAGATCCGTGCCCAACAGTGAGACGTATAAATGGGTTAATTATATGTAGGAACTTCGCATCCTGGCCGTCGCCTTGCCTATATTTAATTTAGGTTCAATTGAAATACACGTTACGTTTGTTTTTCTTCAAGTTTTTATTGAAATGATTTTGGTTCGCTGCGTGCTTTAGTCATCGTGATATCACTATGCGTGTCATGTAATGTATGATGATGGTTTTATTAATCAGTTTTGTTTCTAGTAGTTTTCCTTATTCAACGTCTTAACTTTAACTATGTGCCAGCAAATTGAATAATATTGTGAAGTATTGTATGTAAATATTGGACAGCATGACACACGTTGCTCTGATCCCAAATTAGTTGCATACTTTGGGATACCTTCTCCTGCTCGCCCCCTTTTACCATCGGACATCCAGACGTATGGCGGGATATCTCATGGCGCATTACACCAAGTCGTAAGGTAAGTTACCCGGTGTAAATAGTGAGTCGTCTGACGGTGGTGGTGGGTGCGTCGCCTTCGGAAAGGCGAAGTAGTCTGCCGAAGGACTCGGTGTAAATGCGCCGTTACTTGACTTGAAGGCTCGCTTCAGGTGTAGTAAGCGTTTCGTCATCTTTTATTATGCGCATAGCCCAGGAATGGAATTCCCTGCCTGCGACTTTGTCTTCAAGCACATACAAACTCTAAGGTGCGATTGAATAGGCATGTTCTGGGCGAGACTCGTTCCATCGTAACCTGTCTTTGCTTCAGGGCTAGGTAGTCGTTGTTTTGTAGAAAGGGCGAAAGCGCCATTTAAGACGATATAGAAAAGTTAGTTTTTCTACCTGGACCCGGCCGGGGATCGAATCCAGGACCTCAGACATGGCGACACCATGAAAACCGGTATGCAACCCACACGACCACGAATATCGTCAGCACATTGTAACTATGTAGGTAATCTTTCTGCGCACACAGTAAGTTTCCTTTGTGCGAAGCAAGTAATGTTTATCATTATATCAATAAAGGCTTTGTTCCCTGTCATTGACCATAGTAATGCGGCATTCATAGTTTATAGGTTGCCTCGTCTTATCGCTCGGAATTTTTTTATACTTCTTATCAAGTACAAATAATGTCGTAAAGATTGGCGTAGACAGTTTACTAATACGAGAAGTGTTATTTTGATGCCAGAAAATGGATATTTACCGACGTTATATGTTTTACTACCATCTTCCTTAAACTCTTTTAATCATTTGGAAAATCTCCCGTGGTTTTATGTTTCCAAATTAAATCTTAATAAATAGTCTCGGACATAATATCTTGTGTCAGGCAGACTTCAGATAAGTAAAAAAATAAAGAATCAAAACAATCAGAAATAACTAAATACAAAGCGGATCTTTGTACAAGCATATAGAGAAATTCGTGAGGTCCGCTGGTTCGTTCCGTGGCTTGGTAGGCATAGCGTCTGTCACGGTTTGCTAGAAGACGTCGGTTCTAATTCGGCCGCATCGAAGGAATTTTTTTTAAGTTTTCGATCTTTTTATTAATAATTATAACAAACTAGTTGAGTAATTTCACAAAAAATAAACATGAATAAATAATGAATATCAATTGAATACAAATTTAATAAAGAATTAAAGTTTGTTTTATTTATAATGTTAGATTATGTGAAGACGCCACTAGAATTTTTTAATTGAAACATATTTTTTAATCATACCAAGTAAAGGAACGAACAAGTCGTGCGTCTAGTAGTAAGCGACACGCCTGTCCATAACAGTTGCAATGCTTTAGCTACTGCGCCCATCACCCTGAGACGTAAAGTTGACCAAGTCCCATGTGCGCCTGTAATTTCACCAGCGGACCTTACCCTTCAAAACTGGAACGCACTAATACTCACATTATACTTTGGCGGCGGAAATAGCTAAGGTGGCAGTACTTCCCTGGACGAACTCATTTCTAAGGAGAGCTCCTACTACTGCTGCTAGTTTTAAGAGTCTATACCACCTCAAATGGCTTTGGTTGATGCCGCATAACAAGAAAGTGTTGTATCAATCGCTTTGAAAAAAATATTATAGTAAAAATGAGGATGTACACTGATTATACGGTGTGAAAAAAAAACAAACTTACTTCGAAATTTTACAAAAACACTGCGTATTCAATAGGTACTTTACATATACCAATGATTTTTTTTATATCAACTGAACTAAATAGTATACGAATAACATGTATAGTATACGAATTTTAAAATGGCTGTAATTTCTTTTGTAAAAAATACATTCTGAAATAAAGCCAGCGTCTCAGCCGCTCGACCTTTGACTCGACGGCACGACCGAGAACTTTTATTGATAGCTACACTTGTAACATATGGACCCCTCCTACGTAAAGTATCGTATGTCGAAATTGCCAAGTATACAGGGGAAGCGTTGTAAAGTTCTCAATTCACTGAAATGAGCATAATACGTGACTAGCATTCCTCAGTTTAGATAGGGCATTATAAAATTCTACATATCTTAGATGATCGAGCGTTGCCGAATAAAACTGACAAATGCTAAAGTCATGTGCTAAGCTCGTTTCAGTGAATTCAAAACTTTAAAACGCTCCCCTGTAAACTTGGCAATTTCGACATATGATACTTTACGTAGGAGGCGTCGATATGTGCTCACATGTGGCTTTTTTATAACAAGGGAAATGGTATAAATTAATTATTCTTGTTGTAGGAGTTCGATTTAGAGTAAAGACAAATTTAAGTTTCTTTTTTAAATTAATTACAAAAATGTTAGCCAATTTATGCTAGGGACAGCCGCATGTTTGCAAATAATTGACCCATGTACCTATCTCTTTGATTTCCAGAGTGATTCAGTGAGCTACTTCTTCGACGACCTAGAACGCATTGCACGACCAGACTACATCCCATCACATCAGGACATTCTCCATTGCCGCAAAGCGACCAAGGGCATCACGGAGTGCACCATCAATATCAACAATGTGCCATTTGTGTTTGTGGACGTCGGCGGGCAACGGACTCAACGTCAGAAATGGACGCAGTGTTTTGACTCTGTCACTTCGATACTGTTTCTTGTGTCCTCGTCGGAATTTGACCAAGTGCTCTCAGAAGATAGGTAAGGCATAATGAAAGTACAGTTAAAAGTTAAAAATAGAATAAACACAAATTCGTGGCAGTAAACATACTTGTCTGCATGTTGTGGTAGATGATGCCACTTGTTTGTGATTTATGAGGTTGATAGAAATGTCACTTATCACAGTCATTTAATTTGTATACCAGAAATCTAAAAGTATCTTGTACCTTTTGTTGTTCTGCCGTTAGATGGCGTTTGTTGTATGTTCCTTATCACGGAAGAGGAAACAATGGAAGGGATCTTAAGATCTCGATCAGAACCGCTGTCGCCAGAACCCACAATATCATGATTTAAACACTGAAATCTAACTAATGATTGGTCGTGTTTTCTAAATTAAAAAGGCTTAATAAATTCTGGACTGTTAATGTAATTTAAACTTCACCCAGTTGGTATATCTTTGAAAGTTCAATATCTATTGTTACAAGTCGTTGGCGCACTGAGCTCAAGTATGCGGAACTCCGCGTACTGTTGCCACACGTATCACGCCCGCTTAGCACTACCTATAACCTTAGTATAAAGTTTTAGTGTAAAGTGAATGGCAAATTTTCTTTATCAACCGAAATCCTATGACAGAAGCGTATACTTTGCCCTTTAAATGAATTTGTTACTTTGTGAAGACGACCGTCAAGTATAAACTAGTGGTTTTGAAATTCCTCGATATCAATGTTACTTATTATGGCGCATTCATTCGACGCGAAATACATCGCGCTCACCGCGAACGTCTAACTGTCGTGGCAAAATACGCTCTATTTAATTAGCTTTTAGGTTTTACCTTAAATTAGTGTCCTGGTCACGCGAGCGAGCTTGGCTTGAAATTGGTCTATTCTATTCAGAGGAATTTAAATGTTGTTGCCTAGTAAATAGAACTCAGTTTCGCCATTAAGGTACACGAAGGCGCGGTAACTGGGCGGTCGCGGTGCGAAATCTTTCTCCTCGTGAACAGGGCGCTTATTCTTAACGTAAATGTGTCAACAATATACCGTTTATGTACGTCGAAGTAGATGCACGACTGACGTAACAACGAGCATACGCTCGGTATCTCGATCTCTTTCTCCTCGGAATTTCTTCAAGTGTTTCCGGGAGATAGGTAGGTGAATATGTAACTTTCTATATCTCCATTAGCCTAGAAGTTTGCTGCCAAAGGTATTTCCTAAATAAGATCACAAATCTGGTTAGACATCCCACTGAAGTTGCAATCTAATTCATAAGAAGTTGGTGATGTCCCACATTTTGTTTTTCATTATTTACTTACAATATTTGGGGTGGTCGTATGGTATGATATTTTTTTTTATAATATCAAGTGACGGGACGAACAAGTCGTGTACCTAGTGATAAGTTGCACGCCTGTCCATAACGTTGCAGTGCCACTTAGAGCTTTAAATCGAAAAGATCGGAGGGGCACTGCTACTGCACCTGTCACCCTGAGACATAAGTTGATAAGTCCCATGTGATTGTGACTTCACCAAAATGGTATGACGGGCTGGTGTCCGCAAGTTGCCGTTTAATCGCCTATGTTGCATGTAAGGTATTTGGGGTGGTCATATTCGTGAACAAGAACCATGGCAAGTTCGAAAGTAGCACTTCCACGGGGATTTTAGGTTAAACATCCTGGCCTGTTACGAATCTGATGAAATATCTATCAGTACACGCGTACATATTGCCTTGTTTATTAAATAAGGGAAATGGCAATATTTATGGCTGTGGCTGTAATAAAAAGTATATTTAAAATAAGTCTGCTATCAGTCGTTGCGCAGTGGGATTCTATTTAGATTGTAATTACGTTTTATTTTTTATATCTTTAGTCTGTACTAAACTTTGAACTTTGAACGTAAATGAAATTGTTATCGATACAAAGTTTGAGCAAACGCAAAGAAAAAAATCGCCAGATCCGATTGATCGTAGCCACGTTGAGGTAACGCTCGCTGGTTCGTGACCAGTCGGATCGAGGGAAATTTTCTTTGTGTTTTCGACCTTTGTATCAATAATAATATTTCATTTACTTTCAAAGTGAATGAAATTAAAATTGTCGTAAATGAAATTCTTGGAATAAATTTTAAAATTTTTATCCTTTTACTTTGGTCTAGACTGCGCTAGAACTTACTAAAATATACGACTGCTATACAGGATTATTTTAAAAATACTATTGCCAGAACTTTGTCGGACTACAATACTATCATCATAAACAACAGCTTTTGTCCCACGACTTCATCAGACTTTACTTTCATACAAAAATAAAAATACATATAACGCTTTAAACGGTGGTAAAAAGGTGGACGCTTGCACGTTTCAATTTACTACCTTGCTACCAAAATATAGACCTAAAAACTATCAGATAGTATAACAAAAACTTAAATGTTTATTTTTCGAAAATTCATAATGTATTGTTAAAGTCGTAGAACAAAACTTTTGTTTATGATGTTAGTATAGGCCTGTCAGTATTTTACAATTAATCCAATAATAATATTATTCGTTCAAACACGTTTGGCAACTAAATTATTCGCTGCTCAATTTAATTATTAGAGTATACCGAACAAGTCTTTAACAATATATAACATTGGTTATTGGTTTAACCGCTGTGTACGCCGATGTAATCAACCACGCTCTGATTAATTCCAGGAAAACAAATCGTCTCGAAGAAGCGCTCAATATATTCGACACGATCGCGAACAACGTCAATTTCAAGGGCATATCCATAATACTGTTCCTCAACAAATCCGACCTGCTGGCCAAGAAGGTGACAAGTAAAGAGACTGACATACGTTGGTACTACCCACAGTTCACAGGCGACCCGCACAATTTGCGCGACGTTCAAGTGTTCCTATTGAACATGTTCGCCAATGTTCGCCGCGAGCCAAAGACGACTCTGTACCACCACTTCACGACTGCCATCGACACGCACAACATCGAGGTCGTTTTCAATTCCGTCAAAGACACGATCCTCAATAGAAACCTGGAATCTCTAATGCTGCAGTGACGTGGAACGAACATTGTGATTTTGTGTTGAAAGGAATTTTTATTGTGATATCTATGGGCAATATTATGCGCCCTTACGTCGGCGTGTCTATTAAAAAATCCTATATCCTGTCACTCAAGCATAATAGTTAAAAAGCACATGATGAAAAGACAAGAATGTGATGTATTAAGTGACTATGGGCCTTCGCACATGGCCTACTTTTCTAGTTATGGTTGTTAATGTAAATTATGTAATTTTGGCACACGTTATATTTATTTACCAAACTAAGTTTTGGTAAAATTATGTATAGGTCTTATCATGTAATATGATACAATTTGTATATCAGTATATATATGACCAAAAATGTAGATTTTGCACTTGAATTATATTATTATGATCACTTTTTGGACATTTTTACGTATGTATCTAATCGATTGTATTTACATGCGGACAAGGGATTAGATGACGACACGGTATACTGCTATCTACACACTAGTGTTAGATTTCTATCTGTATACAACGTGTAGTTGGTATAATTTGTCATAGACAAAATTTAGTATGAAGCGATTGGATCTAGAAATTTCCATGCTACGCAAGTGGTGATAGCAACGTGCGGTAACACAGGCACTGTGGGAGTAAATTCCCGCGCCCCACCAATCTTTTAACTTTAGGTTTTCCCCACGTAATTTTACCCATATAAATAATTACACATTTCTGTTCATAAATTCATGTTATAAACTTGTTCTGTCTTTTGTTTTAAATTATTATTTGACTATTTCCACTGATCAACCTATCACTGTCGTTTAAAGTCACAATAGTATTTTTTTTCCGACCGTGATAAAATCAATCAATCAGAGTTAGCAGAATTATCATTTCCGTAAAGATGGAGCCAGAAAAAAATTTAAAAATAGAATGCCATAAAAAATTTGATAATAGAATAATCGCCATGTCGTGGCAGCAAACATACATGTCATGGCAAGTTGTGGTAGACGATGCCACTTATTTGTGATTTATTGGGTTGGTAGAAATGCTAGTCATTTCATTTTTATACCAGAAGAAATCTAAAAGTATGTAATAAATTTTGTTGTTCTGCCGTTAGATGGCGTTTGTTGCACGTTCCATACAGGTGTCTAAGGTAGTGTTGAGGGGTGTAGCAGGAAATGGAAAGGTCCTTTTGCAGTGCCAAGCTGAGACTAGATGCATTATTAGGGTAGAATTCGGCTATTTAAATAAGTAGTAAAGTAATAAAGTCACAAAATGTTTGCTCTAACCAAGTGCCACGCAGATGCAATGATACACGTGTATTATTTTGGAAGACTAATACAATTGGTCCAGTTCAAATGAAATTCGTGTACTGTGATGGATTTTTTGTATAAAAAGTATTTGGCTGTAAACAGCAACGAAAATACATTTCTACTGGGAACATTTTTATGCTATTTTATGAATACGAAAAAAAAATCAAATCGCTCAATATGAAAACGCAGTAATGCTGTTTTTTTGTATGTTTTACAGTGCAGTTTTTTAAGAGTTTCCAATCGTGTTTTTTATTCTCGAAATATATTCCGTCCCTTGGCACAACTTAAAGCAAAGACATTGTAATCTCACAAGCTTCTTAGCTATAATATTAATTACGGCCATTTTTGTAATTTTTTTTTAAAAAGAGTAATGGATCATTGTAAAGTTTAAACAAAATAAAAAATGTTTTCAATGCCCAAAAGTGGCTGTTTAGAATTAATTGTACAAGACTGGAACGAATTACAGCCGTTTTGGAAGTGATACATTTAAATTTAATATTATGTTATATTATTAGGAGTAGGTTTCAATAGGTTATTTGACTCACTTTTTTATAACTTCAATAACTCAAAAGAACATTCTGATAATACATTCAAACATGCTCCGTTCCTTTTTAGCAAAACCACCATCAGTATGCAGCTTGTATGACGTCCTTATGGCTATGACGTCACGAGTATTCTGCCCTCCTTATCATAACTAACATAAACTTGGATTCAATAGACAAGCTTGCCAAGGGGCATATAGGTGGCTCGGAATTAATAGAAACAAAGCTGCAGGGACTTGAACACCGCCGTAGAGTTGCTTATCGTTATTCTACAGGATATATTACGGAGAGAGTGTGATGGAATTGCATAATTTGATTCCGCCTTCCCCTTTCCATCACCGGGAGACTAGACGGCTGGAGTTCCACCCCTATCTTGTGGATATACCCAGGAATCGCACAAAGCGTTTCGCTTCCACATTTATATGGCGAGCTGCTAGGGAGTGGAATTCCCTGCCTGTGGACTTGTTCCCCGAAAGCTCTAACTTGGACCTTTTGAAAGCGAGAGTGAATAGGCATTATTTAGGTGTGCATGCTGCACCGTCGACCTCATCGACACTTTCCATCAGGTGAGATGGAGATCAAATGCCCAGTTATTTTTAATCAAAAAAGTAATCGAATTGAGTTATTACCTTATCTGGAATCAGCGAAACAAAATGTACAACCCTCTATAAGCGGTTGTTTTATATCTTATTTTGTGTCAGTTTTATTGTTACACAATATCGGTGTGATTAACATTTGTACTAGCAAAAAAGCCTTAGGTTCCCATATCTAGAAAGTTAACGAAATGCAAACACGATAGTTATGGCGTGGATGGCAGTCATCTAGTATGTAACCAGAAATAGAGACGAAATGTCATTTAATTTGTTTGAAAACTGTTCTGCCAAATCATTACGGTGACAACTGCGCTCCGATGGGCCAGCCCGAATTCGAATGTCGTCATTGCTTCACTTCAATCGACTAGTTTAACTTGAGCTTTGCTATAATTGACGATAATTGAAAAATAACATATTTAATGTTTAATTACTGATGAAATGTGAGTCGTTTGTTTTGTAATTAGATGTTTTGCTGTTTTTTTCCATACCACCGAATGGAACAGCCCCCATTGTTAGAGATATTATTTTTATTACAATAAATACAGAATATTTTTAGAATATACGGAGACGTACATAGGTCAGTTGTAGGCGCTGTACTATTTCAGCTTTCTAATTTTTGATTTCAGTGCAAACGAGAGTTATATTTAGAAGTGATGTAAGGCCCATTTGCCTCATGAGTTGCGAGAGATGGATGGCCCTTAATTATTTCGTCTCTATTTCCGGTTATATACTTACTGACAGATGCAGTGAATACATATTGAACATCGGGATAACTCGGAAACCACGGATATTTCCGATGTTGCCGCGTCTATAAGTTATCGTATTAATGACTATTAATGTATTTAAGACAATTAAATACAATAGTCCAAGGTCTCAATTCAAAGTCATTGACAACGTAAGACATTGACTAATGAAGTTTGGTATGAAACTACATCAATCACCAACACGGCAAGCTTCTCAAACGCACTTTCAGGATTTCTGAGTTGTCTCGTTGCTCAATTGTTTATTCACTTCTATCTGTAATTTTTTAACTATTTTGTTGTAAATGGTCATTGACTTACAATAATAGTAAATTTTATATTGAATTTCAAAAATCTTAGTACGATGATACGTTTCGAGCCTTTTAGTAAATAAACATACCTATCAGAGCACTCCACTCAATAAATAGAACTTCAGATACTATAATTTTATTATTACATAAGCATTTGTGTCTTTCATACTTGTCAAATAACCTATTCATATTTACTGTGACATTTGTCGCTAGCGACTGCGAAAATTCGAGGATATTGCAAATTGTACAGCACCTCTAGTGGTCACAATGAGTAACATTTTGTATTAAAATATTACGAACTCATGAAAGAGGGGCATGGAAAAGATTTTTTTCTTTTTGATTTAAGTAATAATGCCCTAAATAATTGTATCGATTGGGCACAAAATAGCCGTTATATGTTTGATCAAATATTCTTCATCTTCAGATCTTAATGAATTGATCTTGCAAATTTTATATATTTTTTTTTTGTTTTATTATTACGGCATAATTTCGATCATAATAATTATATACTCATTTTTAGACTTAAGTTTCCATAAGCTTTAGCATATTTATTTTAATGTTTATTTACGATTTTTAAGGTAGAGGTTATCTATTTATTCAGTGTAAATTTTATATGATTTGTTTATTCGAGGCTATATGTGTAAATACCTCTTTTAGTTTATATTTTGTATCATCTGGTTTCTAGTAGGCTTATAAAAACATTAGATTTTCTCAACAAACGCGAGAACATTGGAGACTGAATTGTTAGCTATATTTACTATGAAATATTAAAATTATTCTTTTGATTATGTTGCTTTGATTTCTATTCTGTGCAGTGTTACTTGCACTAAAGTCACAATATTTGTATTAATAAACATTTTACATATACAGGTTGCAACAAAAAAGCTGCGATCAAATTTTTGTAACTCTATTGTAGTAATGAAAACAAAGAAGTTGGGCAAAAAACAAATTAATTTTGGGCATATTTTGTATGCATCGTTTTTGTTCCACCCTGTATGCGAAGACGCTGCACAATACAAAACCAATACAGCGATTCTCTTGAAGGACAAATGACTAAATAGCCTTTGGCGAACTGAATTTAAAATAGATGGCTTAAAATTTTAACAATTTATCAGTTTTAATAAAAATCGATTTCATTGATAATTTTTTTAGAATAATAAAGTTGACAAAGATAAGAAAGTCTAATGTTTTAATAGAATTTAGTTAAGTTTTATGTTAAAGGCACGCCGCAGGCCCCGAATCGGATTGTTTCATGGATTGTTGTCCAGATTGTTGAACAGTGATAATTTGCATTTAATGGTGCCATCTGTGGCACTTATGCCATTAAATTGTTTACGAGTTGGTTCATATTGATTCGATATTATATGCTTCTTGTACTGTTGACATTGTATTAGTGTTAACTTAAGAGATGATTGTTCTCATTCTGTTTGATATTATGGGATAATTTTGTCAAAACATCTATAAAGCCTGTATAGCTAACAATTATACGAAATATGACAAGGGCCCCCATAGTAAGTCTTCATATTAAATAAATAAATTACTCTTCATCATACATATAAGTATAGAAAATACACAAGATATACTAGTGAATTGTGAGGATAAAAAGGATAGAGAGCAGCGTATTGTTGTTTTTCATCCTTCGCCTGTGTTCACTATCGGACATAGCCGGAACATGACACGTAAAACACGAAACAAAAATAATCAAAAATTTACCTATTTATTTATTTCATATTAATAAGTTTCATTTATAATATATTTTTTAAGGACGCTAATTAAATGTCACACTGTATACAATTATACTCCCATTGCCTTGTATTTAGGACATAAAGAAGAGGTTTACGTTCTCACATTTCGATTAACAACTGCGTTTACGTTAACGTCGTGTCGATATGAACTGATCTCTAAACTCAAAAACAAAGCTACATTCACCTGTCGATTTTTTTCACAATGTTTTTTCTGTGATTTGTAAATGTCAAATTCCATTAGCCACTGAAACTGCGAAATGAAGTACATCAAGAAATGACATCAATTGACAGAAATATCTGGCAATTTTATGATGATGTTGTTTCTCTAGACATGAAGTCCTCGCTTACATCTGTTTGCCTACGATGCTTCGACTCTATATAAGTAACTTTAAAAAAAACTGGCTTTAAGTTTAGAGTCCATATAGTGTTTCGAGCAGAAGCGTTACGGAGGTGCTATTGCGGTATAAACGGAGAAAACATTCAAAAGTTAGTTTTAAGTGCTCATTTTTCAGTATAGTTTACTATATTGTCGCCTTACTTTCTCAAACTCGTATCTGAAAGCACAAAGTTACTGAAATGTAAAAAATGGTTAGTCTATACAAATTTTGCAGGCTGGTTTCAAATCACGTTTC